AAAAAAAAAAAAATATATATATATATATATATATATTAGTGTGTTAAGACACCGAAGCATGGATCAATACTGAGAGACTAGGTGGGCCTCACAAGAACTGGAAGATTGGTATACTTACATACTCCATTAAGCACCTTTACAGCAGAAACCTCTCTTATTTAACCACTGTTTTAATGACATTTTAAATTAGACAACCAATTAATATTCTGATTATGCCTGATAAGGGAAGCTTTACTGTTACATATTTTCCTTCTTCACTGATTGCATTAATGGACATCTCCAGCAAAAGTTGAATGTAAGCATCTTTCCATGTAAAGAATATTTGCTATTATTCAGACACAGGTTAATTAGATATTCTATTTCTAGTGCAAAAGTTTTTTTTTTTTTTTTTTTTAATGAGGAATGGATAATGGAAATATAAAAGTGCCTTCAGTATCTGTTGCTATGATTATAAAATTTATTTTTTTCCTATAGCTTGGTAGTATGTTAAATTATATTGGAATTCTTTAATTTTTTTTTTCAGCGTTTATTTTTGGGACAGAGAGAGACAGAGCATGAACAGGGGAGGGGCAGAAGGCGGAACACAGGTCAGGAAACAGGCTCCAGGCTCCTGAGAACCATCAACCCAAACCTGGCCAGGGGCTGAACTCCCCGCAGGACAGCGAGAATGGTGAGAGCCTGGCTGAAGTGGGACTGGCTTAACCCGACTAGCCACCCAGTCATCCCAAATTATGTTAGATTCTTAAGCATTCAATCATTCTGACATTTCACAAAGTCAACCCCTACTGGGTCACAAAAGTATTGTTTTAATTAACTTTATTTCCACAGCAGTTTGTAGGTTTCACAACAAAATTTAGTAGAAACCACAAAGGTTCCCCATATACTTGTTTTATCACATAAAATAATCTCTTCCATTGTCAACATCTCACACCAGAATTGGTGAAATATTACAATATTATTTTTTTGGTAAAATGTATTTTTAAAAATATTCATTGAGTAGTTCAATTTGCTATTTTTTTTTTAATTTTTTTTTTTCAGCGTTTATTTATTTTTGGGACAGAGGGAGACAGAGCATGAGGCAGGGAGGGCAGAGAGGAGACACAGGAATGAGAGCGAACCGGGCTCTGAGCCATCAGCCCAGAGCCTGACGCGAGAACTCGAACTCGCAGGACCCTTGGTCGTGAACCTGGCTGAGAAGTCGGACGGCTCAACCGACTTCACGCCATGACCAATTTGCTATTTTAAGGAATTTAAAATACTCAAATCATTATTGTTAAAAAAATTTTTTAAACATTTTGAGAGAGAGAGACACACAGAGTCGCGAGTGGGAAGGAGGGCAAGAGAAAGGGAGACAGAATCGAAACGGAAGCTCCGTCATGACTGTCAACTTCAGAGCCGATGCGGGGCTTGAACTCATAGTCGTGAGATCATTACCTGGGCCCCTAAATCAGTGCTTACCCGGCCCAAAGGCCACCCCACAGGCCCCACCAAATCATTGTTCCCCTAAGTGAAACTAAAAATCACATATGTCGCGTGTGTGTGTTATCAATCCTGGCACCTCCAATAATCCTACCCTTGTGTAAGTGAGCTGTAAGTTTTTCCATCATGTCCACTGGATTTAAGTAATACAAATTAATCTATTGGCAGAAAGCTTGGTAGAATTAACACATAAAACCATCAAACCTGGAGCATTAGATTTGGGAACAAATCTTTACCAACACTATTTCTATTTCTGGGTTTTCAACTTTTTAAAAATTTTTTTTTTCAGCATTTATTTATTTTTTGGACAGAGAGAGAGACAGAGCATGAGCAGGGGGAGAGGCAGAGAGAGGAACACAGAGATCGGAAACAGGCTCAGCTCCTGAGCCATCAGCCCAGAGCCTGGCAGGAACTCGAACTCCGGATCGCGAGATGGTGACCTAGCTGAAGTCCGGGATGTAACTTGGGCTAGCCACCCAAGCTGACCCTGGGTTTTCAACTTTTAAAGACAATTTTGACTATTTCTCTTTTTTGTGTTCATATCTTGATGTTGTTTCTTTTCTAATTCTTGTTGTTCTATGATCTTTCCTTCTTGAGTTAGACTTGTTTACTATTTTACCACCATTTTTTGAAATAATTAGCTTTTTTGTTTCCCTGGCCAAGTCTACAGTCTATTAGTGTTCTTTTTCCATTTATTAATTTTGCTTTAGAAAGAGATTTTCTTCTACTAGGTAGAGTGTTTCGATTTTTCCCTATCTCTTTGAGTAGAATACTCAGAATAAAATAAAACATTTATTTGGAAAATATTTTAAGACCTCTTCAGAAATACTTTGGTTACTGGGGTGTCTGGGTGGCTCCGGTCAGGTTAAGCATCTGACTCACCTCGAGACACGATCTCATGGTTTGTGGGTTTGGGCCTCTTCAGACTCTCTGCTGTCAGTCAGAGCCTCCTTTGGATCCTCAATACATCCCTCTCCCTTTCTGCCCCTCCTGCATATGCACTCTCTCAAAACTAAACATTAAAAAAAAAAATTTTTTTTTTTTTTTAAAAAACACTATTTATTCTAAAGGTTTGGGTTGTTTTTTCTGTATATATTGTCCTTATATTTCTATTTGGCCTGTAGTTCATTTCAATACCCCTCTTTAAAATATTTTCCTAAATTTCTCAATTAAATATCTAGTGTTCAGAATGGGTGAGAGGAAGCAACTTTTCCTTTTGAGGTTGGATTCCTTTGTGCACTGTAATGTAGACTGTGTCTCTTCTCTTTTAGGTGCTCCAGATTTTCTGTGCTGATCAGTATTTGTAAACACTCCAGAGTGTCGACCAACATGTGTTCTCTGATTATGAGTAAAACACTGTTGGTCTACCTAAGCAAGTTTGTGTTGTTTCAAATTCAGACACCACTAAGCTTGATTTGAGATTTCTGTAATTTTGTTGTATTTAATTTTTGTGTATTTTTTATTTTTATATATATATATATATATATATTATTGGTGTGATTTATTTAAGACATGACATGGATCAATACTGAGAGACTAGGTTTGGGCCTCACAAAGACTGGAAGATTGGTATACTTACATACTACATTAAACACCTTTACAGCAGAGCCTCTCTTATTTAACCACTGTTTTAATGACATTTTAAATTAGACAACCAATTAATATTCTGATTATGCCTGATAAGGAAGCTTTTACTGTTACCTTATTTTGTCTTCACTGATTGCATTAATGGACATCTCCAGCAAAAGTTGAATAGTAGCATCTTTCCATGTAAAGAATATTTGCTATTGGTTTCAGACACAGGTTAATTAGATATTCTATTTCTAGTGCAAGAGTTTTTTTTTTTTTTTTTTTTAATCAGGAATGGATAATGGAAATATAAAAGTGCCTTCAGTATCTGTTGCTATGATTATAAAATTTATTTTTTTCCTATAGCTTGGTAGTATATTAAATTATGTTAGATTCTTTAATTTTTTTTTTTCAACGTTTATTTTTGGGACAGAGAGAGACAGAGCATGAACAGGGGAGGGGCAGAAGGCGGAACACAGGTCAGGAAACAGGCTCCAGGCTCCTGAGAACCATCAACCCAAACCTGGCCAGGGGCTGAACTCCCCGCAGGACAGCGAGAATGGTGAGAGCCTGGCTGAAGTCGGAC